GCCAGTGAGTGGGAACCGGTCTCCACATGGGATCCGAACCCTCGGCGGGAGCGCCGCCGCGTTCCCAAGTGGTGCACTCTCCAGTGCACCACCGGGCTGGCCCACCACTTCCAGCTTTTGATGAAGCTAGGCAAGAGCTTATAACCATCAAAGTTTCATCAAAAAAAAAAAAAAAAAGAAAAGAAAAGAAAAAGAAAATAATAGACATTGGGATCAGGAGAGAATCAGTGGAAACTAGAAATGCAATAGCATGATGAAAACGAAGTGGAGGCAGGAAAGGACAGAATGGGCACTGCAGGAAAAGTCACATAGAGGACACACTTGGAAAACCCCTAGAAAGCTGAATACAAAGATATATAGTTTTTTTTAAAAAGTAGAAAATGATAGAGAAGACAGAGAATGGACACCTAATCTATGAATTACAGAGGTTGTCAAAAAGGACTCCAGAATAAACTGAACAAAGAGACCAGAGAGAAAAACTTACTCTGTGAAAACAAGCAAAGAAGCAAACAAACAAAGCTGACTATTCAGGTAAAAAGGGTTCCCAGTGTTCCAGAACCCCATCATTTATACTTAGCAGGAGAATTTTCTTTTTTAATTTCAAGGAGAAGGAAAAATTCTAAAAACAGCTATGAAGAAAAACAAACCAGCCAGGTTTCTTACAAAGGAACACAAGTCTGGTTGGCCTTATACTTCTATATTTGATCTTACAATTCAGAGACACGGAAGCAACATCTGCATGGGTTTGAGGGGAAAAGAATACACTCACCTATGAGTGAAAGCAAGAAAAAGACACCTTACATAAGCAAGTGCCTAAAAGAAATCTCTCCTACATGCTTATCTTTAAAAAAATTACATGGTGCAGCTGCTATGGAAAATATTATGGTAATTCAACAGAAAATTAATAATAGAATCACCAGATGATGCAGCAATCCCACTTCTGGGTATATACCCAAAAGAACTGAAAGTGGGATCTAAAAGAGATATTTACACACCCATGTTCACAGCAGCATTATTGACAATAGCAAAGAGGTGGGAGCAATCCAAGTGTTCATCCACAGGAGAATGGATAAAGAAAATGTCCTATATCCATACAATGGAATATTATTCAGCCTTAAAAAAGGAAGAAAATTCTGACACATGCTACAACACGGATAAACCTTGAGGGGCATTATGCTAAGTGAAATAAGCCAGTCACAAAAGGACAATACTGTTTGATTCCATTTACATAGGCATCTAGAGTTGTCAAACTCATAGAAACACAGAAACTAGAATGGGGTTTGCCAGGGGCTGGGAAGAGGATGATATGGGGTGTCGTTTAATTGCTAGAGAGTTTCAGTTTTGCAAGATAAAGAAGTTTTGGAGATTGGTTACACATCAGTGTGACTATACTTAACACTACTGAACTGTACACTTAGAAATGATAAATTTTATGTTTTTCTTTTTTACCACAATTAAAAATAATAATTAAAAAGATAAAACCTTAGGGCCGGCCCGGTGGTGCACTGCTACAGTGCGCCACTTAGGAGCGCGGCAGCGCTCCCGCCGAGGGTTCGGATCCCACATACAGACCGGCCGCTCACTGGCTGAGCGAGGTGCGGGTGCAACACCGAGGGTTGCAATCCCGTTGCCGGTCCCGGTCCAGTACGGGCGCGACACTGAGGGTTGCGATCCGTTGCCAGTCACGAAAAAAGACAAAAAGGAAAAAAAAAAAAAAGATAAAACCTTCTTAAATACATGTTTCAGCCAACAAAATTTATGACTCAACTTTGAGGATATCATGATATAGAAGAACCAGAAGGGAAAACTGAAACTTAAACCAGGTAGACTTATTAAGTCAAAATAAGTAATTATAATTTTGGTTATAAGATTGAATCAAAAGCCACAGCTTGAAAGAGAAGACGTTCAATTTTTAAATGTATTTTAAATAATAATTTCATAGTAATGGTGACTTAATTCAAGGTTGAATTACTAAAGACTGGTAAATACTGGTAGAAAGGGAACAGAAGATTGTAAAGCACACAAAATTTCATAATTTAGATTATAAGGATTCACAGGTTATTGCTTATTTTTTAAGTTTGGTACCATAGAAATATAAGTTAAAGTATGCCTTTAAAAATGTTAAATGTAAACACTAGTAACCATGAGCAGAGTG